AAGCCTTTCTTCATCGACACAGGTAAACCTGGTTTCACGAGGCTTACCTGTGTCGATGAAGAAAGGCTTCTTTGTCGGGGCATCGCGTCCAGACTCCCCCAATCTGCCGACAAAAAATGAAGCCGCAATTATTTTAATCGCGGCTTCATTTCCCTCTTCCGATGTGGCTAATCTACATGCCTCCGTCGAAGGAGGCATGGAGTCTGGACACAGCCCAAGTTAGCCAGTCTGTGTCCAAATAGGGTCTTCCCCCACCTCGAAAGGTGGATGCCATCCCAGCTTAGCAGTCCTTCCTGGAATAGCACCCCATGGTCGAGGAAGCCAATGCCCTCCTGGCGACACCATCCTCGCAGCCAGGCATTCACCTCCAGGATGCACCAGTCTCTGCCTGGGCTCCTACCTGTGACAGGAAGGATCGAAGAGAATACCACCTGCTCTCCATACTCCTTCCCCCGTACTCCCATCTTTGGGTATGTCTACACAGCAAGCATAATAAGAAGGACCCATCTAGCTCAGCATCTTGTCCTCTAACAGTAGCCAACGCTAGGTGCTTCAAATGGATAGAACAAGCCATGATTAAATGATCTATCCGCTATCATCCAGTCCCAGCTTCTGGCAGCGAAAGAGTTAGTAATACCCAGAGTATGAGGTTTACAGGGATGCTGAAAAAACGCGTCTGCTTTTCTGAATTTTTTTCCTGAAAAGTAGACACATTCTTTGGTGTAAATGGACCAAATTTTGGAAAAGCCTCTTCCAAAAAAAAAAGAAGCAGAGACTTTTCTTTGCAGTCTAGATATAGCCTTAGTTATTAGTTGACTGTATCCTTTCTCCCCTTTATTAAGAGCTCTAGAACCTGGAAATTTGGCCAAAATTTCTGGCTGCTTTGTGCTGTTCCATAGAGGTGCAAAACAGCCTGAATGTACTCATGTATTTGGTCTTAAAAGTTAATATAACATATGTAAGGTAACTTCTTTGGATTTTTCATTTCATCTATGAAATTTTCAATACTTTAAAAAAAATGTACAAGGAACATAATTTAAAAACAAAGAAAAAATCTACGCTAAACAGGACTTAAGGTTGAGAGTACATATCAGTATTTTAATGGTAAAATCATTACAGGAATGTTGTACTGTAATTATACCAAAACCAAGCATTACAAACCTAGGGAATTCAGAGTTAAGGTTAAAGATGAAAGAGATAAAAATATGGTATTTAAGGTATAGAAAAGTCATTTTAGACATCCAAAAAATCATAACTCAGCCATAAAAGAACCATAAAGAAAGAAACTCCCCACCATGTATTTAAAAATCAGTTTAATCTAATCTGGAGCTACAAATGCTAAAATGCATTTATTATAATTGGATATTTATTGCATACTATCACCAAAGGATAGAGCTAATGTTTTCTTTTAAATTTTACTTCAACTCTGAACTTGTTTGGTTTGTAGTGCTGTTTTGGGGAATAAGAAGAATATCCTTGTAATGGTTTTATCCTTAAATGACTCAGCCTTATTTTTTATTTGGGAATACAGGCAGTCCCCGGGTTACGTACAAGATAGGGACTGCAGGTTTGTTCTTAAGTTGAATTTGTATGTAAGTCGGAACTGGTACATGTTGTAGGGGAAACTCTAGCCAAACATTTCTCCAGAGCTCAGTTTTATTCTCCCACACCTCGCTTCCCTCAGTCCTTTATTCTCAAGCTGAGGTGTCTGCTGAGAAAAGCCGCTCTGCGTCTCCCTGGTCTGCTGGGGGGAAGTAGCTAGTGCAGGGTTGCCTCACCCCGTTTGTAAGTAGGGATCCAATGTAAGTTGGATCTATGTAACCCGGGGACTGCCTGTACACTGTTGACTGTTAAGTGGCCTCACTGGTGGTAGAGAATACCCACTAGAATATATTTATTTGTTGTTGTTAATATATTTGTTGATATACCATATCTGCCAGAATGGGGCATATGGAATAGACCTAAATCTCTATCACTGATTATCAGATATTTGCAGTCAGAAGATCATTGAAGTCTGCAGTATTGGAGGGACCATCTTCTTCATCTGAATTTCTGAAAATCATTCCTATATTCCTTATATAGTTAAAGTTTTGAGAGACACTTCTAAAGTGAGGTGCGGTGCCCATTACATCATTTTTTGATTTTCACAACATTTTTAGTCTATTTCTATTCACATTTGTAAATCTTGCCAGGGTTTCTTATAAAAATGCGCACAGTTTGAGATATTTGGAGCTAGCACAGAAACAGACATATTACAAGCTCAAAAGTACTGTTAACAGAGGCCCTCTCTCTAACTATTATAAATAATAATAATCACAGAAAAACTCAAAAATATATCATTCAGCCAACTTCCTTTCTGAATGCAGAGGGTCAGGTCTAGGGTACCATAGGGAGAATAACACACATTGGAAAAGGTGGGGCATGGGGAAAGGAGAGGCCTTTGGAGTCACAGCTCCACACTTTTTTCTACTGGTAACCCTAATACACTGTACAAAGGGTGGCACCCCTAATTACTGCAACTGCCAACTGTCCTACATCTTAAGGCTGAACTGGCGCTCACAGCTCAGTGGCAAAGTGTGCAGAAACATGGGTGATAAAATGACAGAGGTTAAAAATTCAATTTTCCACATTTATGTCAGCAGGTTTCACTTTCACTAAGAATGCCTCATTTGTATTTTCTTTTTAAAGCCATTATCTGTCCCTTGAGAGTCTTTGTAAAGGTCCAAATTTCAAATAAACAGAACACTCTAAGACAGGTATGTACAGCTAATTTTTGTTGTATTTGGCTAAAATATGAGCACTAAGCTAATAGGTAAACATAAAAGTATGCCATTTAAAACAATGCATTCCCATTAGAGTTTGAAAATGTGCCTATACTCCATGTACACTTTTACTTGGTTATGTCATTTCCTGTGTAAAATATGCTTGTTTATACAGCAGCCATATGAAAGATGCAGGAACCCGCTCTGTGGGCTATTTGAAGCTGTCCTTAAGAAACATAAAACCCCTTGACCCTTGTATAATAAAAGGTGTTAAAAGATACTGCTTTTACAACATCTTAGCCAACCCTAATAAGAATGTACAAACCAAATAAAACATTTTTACCCTAAAGGTATGGTCAATCACGTGTTATTTTATGAATTACTATTGCTATTGGGTAGTAAAATGGTATTTTCAAAAGACAGACACAAAATGACACCAGATTTCACTGCTTCTCAGCATCTTCTAAGAAAAAGGGAAATTTATTTTTGGAATAACTTATTGATAGTAAATGCCCTTTGTTGGGTATTAGAACAGTCTATTACTGGAATTTATCTAACGTTCATTTATCCATTTACCATTTCGTCTGGTAATTATCCCCTCGTCCCCTGAAACCTTATATAGGAATCATGCTAACTGCAGTAATAAGGGGTGACCTGTTCAAGACAAAAGCTCCCAGACTCTGGACTCTGGACAGAATACAGCCTTTGACTAAAGAGCTACCCTGAAAAGAGAAGATTAGGGCTGCCAGGTGTACGGTATTGACCCGGACAGTCTGGTATTTTCCCCTCCTGTCCGGTAAAAAAAATTCAGAAAATACCAGACGCCTAAAATGTCCGGTATTTTCTGATTTGTTTCCCAGCCAGGAGGCAAAAATCCTGGGTGCTTACCTAGTTCTGCAGGGGAGCTGTCGGGCCCAGAGCAGGAAGACAAGATAGCAGACGGCTGCCAGAAGCCTGTTAGGGCCAAAAAGCTTCAAAAGCATTTCTTAAAGGGGCCATGCTGTTTGTTTGTTTGTTTTCTTAATAACTCTCAGGGTCCTTTTCCCCCCCCTCTTTCCTCAACAACTTTAGTCTCTCTCTTTTTTTCCCCCCCTCAACAGAATTTTTTTCCAGGTGTTTTTTTTTGGTGGGGGAGGGGGGAGGGGGGAGTGTTTGGTATTTTTGGTTAAACCATCTGGCAACCCTAGAGAAGATGAAGACAGCAGATTGTGTTAGGAGAGCAAATCATTTGTTGCAGTCTATTGCAAAGTGCTAACAGAAACAATTTACTTTACTGTGACTAAGCTGTCTCGCAAAATGATCAGCAATAATAATAATGTGACCTGTCTCCAGGAACTTGAAAATGTCTTTATTTGTCAGGCCTGTCCAGATGTCTCTTTCCATATGACACAAAATGTCATATCCCAAGTTTTGCAAGACTTGCTGGCTCTGGTGCCCTCATGAAGCTGCTGTCTAGAGGACTAGGGTTACCAAATTTCCAACTTCTGAGAAATGGACACCCCTGCTCTGCCCCGTCCAACTGAGGCCCCACTCCCTGTGCCTCTCCCTCCTCCAAGGTCCTGCCCCTGGCTCAATCCTCCCCCATGCCCAGCAACTGTGGCACTCTCCCTGCCCCACCAGTTACCCATAATTCTCTCCATAAGACACTAACTTCAGTCACACTGCAAGTCTGCCAAGAAGCTGGGAATAGAACCCAGAAGCAGGCGACCCAGGAGCAGTTGGGGGTAAACGGAACTACTTTATTGCCCACACACATTTACCTCGGACATTCAACACAACGTCCGAGTGGTAACAACCTGCTGCCAATCACACCCTTTTATCTATTTTAGTATGTTAATTCACACAACTGTCACTACTTTTCCTAAAACCTTATTTAGTAATGTGAACTCCCATAAAATTAATATTAATAAACAAACAATGAATACAATTATACCTACCCCTAATTACTATTTACAGAATTTCTAATTGAATCAACACGTTCTACAGTACAAACTTTCTAAATCAGCAGGTTACAGAGATTACAAGAAATTTCTCCCTGAAGATATTGTATATAGCAGCAATGAGGATAAGCAAAAGACACAACAAAGATCAGCTGCATGCTTATCTATTTTTCTAGGCTGCAAAAATGAAGGGAAAGCGCATATTCAAGGGGAATGCCTGCTGTGGCTGAACTCCTTACCACTATCCCAGACCCCTATTCATTTTATATATCTTAACAGTCCTGACTTTCAGCCCCTCCCTCCAATTGCAGCCCCCATTCCTCTCCCAGAGCCAAGGTTCAGGGCTAGAACCTAGCTCTCAGCCAACCCTCTCTAACCACAAAACACCATTCTCCTCTCTGAGCCAGGAATAATGTTCAGGAGCTGTGATTCCCAGCCCCACTGCTCTATCCACCAGCCCCAGCCCCCTGCCAGAGCCAGGAGAGAATCCAGGAGTCTTGGCTCCCAGTCCCACTGGTCTAACCACTAGTCCCACTCCCTTCCCAGAGCCAGGGAAAGAATCCACCCAGGAGTCCTGACTCCCAGCTCCACTTCTTCCACTCCTCTGACACCCAATATTGAGGAAAGGGGCAGTCCTAAAAACACCCAGGTGTCCCCTGCCCATCTGAGTCCATGCAGAGGGCTGCTTGCTTCCATCTGGTGAACTTGCCCCTTTGTTTGCAGCCATACACATACCCCCCACGCTCGCTGCAACCTGCTCGTGCTGACTAGTTCCAGACAACTTACACAGAAACATTGGTTCCAGGGTCTTCCTGCTTCTCCCAAGCCTCTACTCCTGGTTCCTCAGTCTATAGCGCATGTGAGGGGCTTTTTGGGCCAGTACTTCAGCTCTGGCACCAGTGTTCACTCCTCAGGCCCTCCTGGAGGCCTCTCCATCCATACTCTGCGGGATCATTCTCATGCGGTCACAGCTCATCGTTGCTGATCTTCACAACCAAAAGGCCTGTGGTGGCTTGGTGGTGAGGACTGGCCTAGCAACATAGACCTTGGTGGCTTCTTAGCAGGAGCCCCACCACACCACTGCTTCTTGGATCTATCAGTCCTGACTGAACTGAGCTGCTTTCTTTTGAGCTCAGCCTTCACTGTGAGCACACCCAGCAAGAGTTGCTGGGGAGGGCTTCCTGGGTCCAGAGCTGCTCCTTAACCCTTACCTCCCCAGTATGGGGTTTGTACATTCCATTCACTCCCATTTTGCATTTTGACCCATTAACCATCAAACAGCATCCTTCACACTTGGCAACACAATACCCACATGATTTTTGTGGCCTTGTTCCTAAAGACAGCAATATCATCAATATAAGCATGTGCAAAGACCAGTAATGTATGTAACATCTGGTTAACAAGGCTGTGAAATGTGCCCTAAATATTCCAGTCAATAATAAACTGAATTCCTAAAGACCGAAATAAGTTACGAAGACAGGTTTTTAATCAAAATGTTGTGTGGTACCAACTCAAATGTCTTTCAGAAGTCTAAGTATGTTACATCAAAACTATTACCTTCATAAACCAAATTTGTAATCACATAAAAAAATCAAATTACTTTAACAAGATCTATTTTCCACAAACCTATACTGGTTTGCATTGATTACAGAAACCTCTTTTAATCCTTTACGAATTAAATCCTTATATCAGCCATGCTGTTATCTTGCCTGGAATGGCTGTCAGGTTGACAGGCTTATAGAATGATGCAGGTAATTACAGGACTTTTAAAAATTAGCACAACATTAGCTTGCTTTAGTAGTCTGGAACTTTGCCAGTGTTCCAAGAATTATTGAAAATCAACATTAATAGTCCACCAATCTCCTTAGCTAGCTCTTTTAAAACTCTTAGATGCAAGTCATCTGTACCTGCAAGTTATCTTCTGATTTTAAAAATGTCTTACTGGCCTTAACATCTATGAATCAATGAAAGACCAGCATCTATGATGATAACACTCATGTATCAAGGACATAAAATTTGCTCATCTATGGCTATGATGTAGTAATTAAACTCCACACTGGACATCAAGAGGTTAAAAAGCTGCTTTGGGACACCACACCTGTAAGATGTATACAGACGGGAAGAGTAGTTTAAAAGAGGAGCAGAACAGCTCATTAGTGGGCAGACTTTGAACAGCCTTCAATCCTCAGTTTCTGAGTAAATGGCTGATTGAAGGCAAGAGCTCTGATAAGCATTGTCTGAATTTCCCTCCCTGAAGAATGGGAGGGCCAGACCTGGATGCACCCTGAGAGGGAGACATTCCATTCTCTCTTTTACTAACCCTATTTACTTGTGTTACTTCCCTTTGGTTTCGGTTTAGGGGCTGTCCCAGTGACATGTCTGGAAGGCCAAAGCACAGGCTGAGGCAGGCAGCTGAAGAGACAAATCCAGTGGTCACAGTCCCAAGGAAGACAGAGCTGTTATACCATAGCTGGCCACAAGGAGGAACCAGCAGTGAGTCCGCCCTTTTACAACTGGTGGAGAAGGAGGGAGAGGGGGAAAAAAGGAAGGAAAAACTGACCCAGGGGGTCTGGTACTCTAGATCAGTATTTACCAATTTTATTTGGCCACAGAACCCTTTTAAACTCAAAAGAAATTTGTGGAATTCCTAATAACAGTCATATATATGGAGCTGAAAAAGTAGTAGTGATATAATCGTCCCCACTCTCTGGCTAAGCTGGCATTACACAGAGACACTTATGGCAAATACAAATGAAAATTATTTTCGATAAAATTAATAAATGCTTAAATATTAACTATTATTTTTAATCCTAAAATGTTATTGTCATGGAATTTTCTCGATTAACCCTTATTTTCACTTCGCAGAACCCCAAGGTTCAGTAGATCAATAGGCAAGGGTTGGTAAATCAGAGGACATGGACCTCAAGTGTCTTTTCACGGGGATCATGAGAAGTAGCAGCAGCAGCAGCTGCAGCCCATCTGACATCAGAGGCACAACAGCAGCAAAGGCTGGTCCAGCAGGTAATAGCTCTGAGGTAGCTTCAGGGTCTCCTGGAGGAGCAACTGTAACCTGGCTCAGTGGTTCCGAGTGTGTCAGTAAAACTCAAAGGTTGGCCTAAAGACAACCTGTAGACCTTCCTGAAAACATCTAAGTGAATAGAGACAGTCAAGTGGCCACTCAGTTGGTACCTTGCCTGACAGGACCAGCATAGGCTATGTACTGTGGACTACAGGTAGCATCTGACCTTCTAATAGACATCCTGTGGAGAGAAATAACCTTGGGAGCTGAGCCCTGCTTGGTCTCCCAGAAATGAAGAGGCCTATCCCAGACATGGTTAAAGTTGGAGACTTGGACTGGAGTTGAGCGGCTGAGCTCATCACAGTGAGGTAGTTCTCTCCCATACTTCAGGCTGCAGGGAGGGACTGGATGCTCACCCAGAGTTTCTAGCTGGTGGAAAATTACTTAGCTACAGAAACTGCTCTGGCAACATTATCTAAGCAACTGCCTGAGACCAAGGGAGGGACTAGCCATGGGATTTGGCAGTCCGACAGGGGAGTTGCTGAGGCACAAGCTTGCAAGGGGCCCAGACCAGACACAAGCCCCTTATTTTGTAAAATCTTTGTAAAATCCCTACCTTTCAGCCCCCAGACCAGACACAAGCCCCTGAAACTCGCATAGGCTCCTCCATTGGAAAGTTAGGGGTTTGGAGCAGACAGCCACATAGGGATGGGTTACCTTAGACGTTAGACTTAGGTCCAGCCTGCAGGGAGGATTTTCATTTAGACACCAAGGTAATCAGTACCACTGTCATTATGGACAAGTATGCCTGACAGAAAACCATGTCTGTATCTGAACCCCTGTTCAGATAAATAGAACTGAGCTAATGGGCCTGATGGATTCCAGTTGTGGGCAGACCTTGCTTCACAGTGATTTTATCCCAAACCCTGAAGCCTCTGGTGAGACTATTTTTTCTACAGTGTATCCCTGGAGAGGTTGACTGACAGGGCTTATTTACTCTGCAGAAGAGTGATGGGGGCTTTGATAGCATCTTTCAACTACTTGAAGGGGGATTCTCATTGATGACAAATGACAGAACGAGGAGCAATGGTCTCAAGTTGCTGTGGGGAAGGTCTAGGTTGGATATTAAGAAACAGTATTTCACTAGGAGGATGGGGAAGCACTGGAATGTGGTACATAGGGAGGTGGTGGAATCTCCATGCCTAGAGATTTTTAAGGCAAGGCTTGACAAAGCACTTGCTGGGATGATTTAGTTGGGATTAATTCTGCTTTGAGCAGGGGTTTGGGCTAGATGAACTCTTGAGGTTTCTTCGAACCCTATAATTCCATGATTCTATAAAATTTTGTGCTCTATCATTGCATCCCTCCTCCAGAGGGTCCCCTAGATGTAGTCATGGCAGAAGAGCAAGGTGCAGGCCTTCCCCATATCCTACCACTGCTGCATTGAGGGAAAGGCATGCCTCTGCCCTATCTGGCCAGTCAGAACTGCCGGAAGGATGGCTTGAAGACCAAGTACTCCATCAAGGTGTTGTTGAAATGCCAATGAGCCATGCCCCCATCTCTGCAAGATGAAAGGCCATCATGGCCACTAGATGATGGTCTGAGAATGGAGCCCACCAGAAGTGGAAGCAAAATAGATGTTATCTAAGTGGGAGGGTGTGACGGGGCAAGGCAGCCCCGCACTAAGCCTGCAGGGCCCAGCCAAGGTTACCTGGCTGAAGATGCCCCTCCCCCGGAGCCCTACCAAACATGCCCGGGCTGTAGCTTCATTATAAAAGCCTGGGGAAGGACTCAATCAGGGGTGGCAGCTGGAGGAGAAGGACCTGTGAAGGGAGCTCCTGCACAGCTGTCACCAGAGACTCCAGAAGAGGCCAGTGGGGACGTGGAGGCGAGCTGGTGCATCCCAGAGGCTGCCTGCTGAGGAGACGCTGGCCCAGAGGGCACAGCAAGCTGGATGAGTACGTAGGAAGGAACCCCAGTGAGCCAGGTAGGAAGTGGCCCAGGGCAGGAGCAGGAACCGCCTCTCCCGTGCTGAGAACCTCGGTGCGTTTTGGCCAGATTGCCCAGCTGAGGGAGTGACATGCTATCTGGTCACTCACAGGGCTCTGGGCCAGGACCCAGTGGAGTAGGGTGGGCCTGGGTCCCCCTACTTGGGGTGCGTCCTCGCTACAACCCTGAACGGTGTTTTGGACTCAGGCAAGAGGGCCTGGGACTTGCCTGAAAGGGCCAGACTTAAACTGTGTTTTGGACTCAGGCTGGAGGGCCTTGGACTTAAGAGGTCCTTCAGGGGGGCCAGGTGGGAGTGGCTCAGCACAGAGGGGTACAACTGTGTGTCCTCCACCAAAACTTCCCCCTGAAGATATGAGTGTTGTTCAGAAAGCAGCACAGCTTGTCCTGCAGCACCCTAGGAGCTGGGTCCACAACTTTCCAGATGCCCTCTGACTAGGTCCCTGGGATAACCCATCACAGCAGCTGAACTAGCAGTTCTGGTTTGGCTGAGTTTGCCTCACAAAGGCCCTCGACACCTGCTCTCTTTCAACCACGAAGAAACAAGTTCAAAGGGTTTTTGATTCCAAAATGACTGCTTCCAATTTGTGCCAGGATTTTGGGTGATGACAGTCCCTCCTCACAGACTAAACTAAGAACAATAGCCCCAAGATGGGTCATTGGTCTGAGGCCTGCAAAAAGTCCTTTTAGAAATTGAGACACTTGTTAAAAGAACTGTCCTGTCCAGTTCTAATTTCTCAAAGTGTTCATTCTGCAAACCAATGCCTCTGACATGTACTAGGCTCAGTATTGCCCTAGGAAATGTCTGCAAGGAACATGTAAATCTATCTGAGCCACAAAGGGTTCCCTCAGGAGCAGGCATATTCCATGGTAGAAAAGGGAGGACTCATTTTGACAGTCTCTCCAATATTACTGCCTGGGAAATCCATGCAAGCCCCTCACTAATCATACCCCTGCAATTAATCATGAGGTGGTTAAGTGTCAAGAAGGACAAGAACCCCCAGCTTATCCACCAGTATCTTCCCCTTCTGCCACATTCCTTTCAAATTCAGCATGGAGTGAAAAAAGCTCACAAATATGCTTGTGAGGAAGACTGAGTCAGAAGGTCTACAAACCCCATATTGCAGAGCAAGGAGTGAAAGGGCTGCTCTGCCCTGCCCTGCCCTGCCACACCTGCAAAGCATGCAGGAGGAGTTGTAAGAGAAGTTGAACAGCTCAAAGGTGAACGGTGAACTTGAGGGCAGGGGGCTGGACTCGATGACCTCTTGAGGTCCCTTCCAGTCCTATGATTCTATGAGAACAAGCCTTCAGGCCGAGGAAAGAGCTGACTGAGGCAGGAGCTTCTCTGAGAGAAATGAGGGCCTGATCCTGATGTTTTGTTTTTCACTGCCACTGTGCCTTTAAGGTACGTTGGGTTTTTCATTTCTCACTGGCTGGGTTAGAAAGTGAAACTTCTCTGCGATTTCTCCATTTCCCTGGTTGACAGGGAATTGTCTATCTTTCAAATTGAGTGTCTGAAATGCTCCTGCCCTTACACTCCTATTTACACAGGACAATACCAAAATCTAACTTGGGTTAGGGCCACACTTGAAGCTGGAAGTGTGATTTCCAGCTTGCACTCATGTACCCCTTGCTAGTCTGGCTTGAGAGAGCATAGCAAAATCAGCCACATAGGCAAGTTAGCAAGAATGGCAGCTGAGGCTTAATTAACCAGAGTCAGTACTTTTGAAATTTAAACCCTTTCGTAAAATATGTCACTATGTTTACTTGCATAGTTGTCCAAGAAACTCACGGTGGGTCAGATGAACTCCTGTTGGCTCTGCTTGCCCTAGCCCACTCCAAATAGCAGCATAGCCAGAAACAGACCAGTTTTTTAAGGGGGTTTAATTTCAGCAGCACCTACTCAGTTTAATTAACTATGGGAAATATGCTAGTGCCATGAGATGTGGTAGCTAAAGGTTGAAAGTGTGGGTATGGATCCTTCTTTTCAAGAGGAAAAAAAATCAGCTTAAGTTGTGGTCTCAGCCTTAGTGGTACTTGGGCAATCCCTCTACTTAACAAAGCCAACCTCATGTGCAGCCAGGAACAGAAATTCTGATCCTTCATTCTCAAAAGCTCAACTTAAGGTAGATCTCTGACAGGAGCCACCTTTTAAAAACCTACTAATCTCTCTCTATATATTTTAAAAACAACTTCCTGAGGGAAGACAGAGTGACTTCATACATCACTCTGCATTGTCTCTCCCCCCTCCCCCACCTCCCCAGCAGCATGCCCTTCCCACTCCCTTGCACTCCAGGGAGCCATGAGACCATACTGCTACCCCATGCACCGGGAGGGGAGCTGCATGGCCTCTAGCCAGGCCTCCTGAGGAGCAGCCTCAGCCTCAGCCTGGCCCAATCCTCTGGTAGCCAGGGGGAAGAGAGCCAGGCCTGCCACAGAGAGGCCTTGGCCCGGCCTTTCCAAACGCCCCAGTGGCCAGGGGGAGAGAGCCGAGGCTGGATAGAGTACCACACCTCAGCCTGGCCCAACTTCCCGGCAGCTGGTGAGGAGAGCTGAAGCTGCCTACCTCCAGAGAGAAGGGGATTGGGGAGTATAGCAAGCAGGGGGTGCAGCCCCTAGTATTCTTTCTAAGCAGCAGCTGCCCAACACAGAGCCACAAGTGCTCTCTTACACACACTCCTTGATCCTGCTCACACTAGAAATCCTATTGACCTTAGTGAGAGTAGGGTCAGGCCCATAACTAACCTTAACCAAAAGAGCTAACACATTTGCTTTACTATTTTCTTCAAGCAGAGCCATCCAGTGAGTTTCAAAGAAACTGAATCTACCTCTCTGGAGTTTTTTAAGGCAGGTTATCACTG